TAATATATAACTTCATAAACGATTGTCTTCATGGCTCAATTTATCCTTCGAAGATGCTCAACATGCCCCATGGTGAGGTATATTGATCCACTTTATGTATTCTTGTAATTAACGTATTTTTCTTCTTATTCACGAGGAATTTTATTCACGAGAATTTTATTATTTACTTTAGATAAGATGATCTTATATTAAGGATTTATAAGCACTTAATTATTGAGCCAGATAACATGCAACGTTTTAAAATATTTATCATTAGTCTATTATAATTGTGTAAAAATTTATAGCAATTTAGAGAAAAAATGTCACAACACTAGCCCTGCTCTACTCTATGGATGTTGACAATCCATAAATCAGAAATCTTTCTTGCAAAAATTGTCATCTCTTGCTGTAATTTCTGTAAGATATTTTTATATTTATTTTATATTTCAGAACTTTATTACATTATTGTGTCGGCAAAGGAAATGTATAAAATAAAACTAAAGAAGCTATTAGAATGTCCAAATAAAGAAGAAGCTAATAAAAATATTGAACTTGTGACCAAATTACAAAGTCAATCGGTACATATCACATCAGTGGGAGATATAATATTTTATGGCAATACTGTTAAAACGGCCATTTTGGGAAAGAACGTTTCTAAGAAATCTATAAATAAAAACACGGTAATATATCCAAACACAATTATTCTTTACACATCTATTGATAATAAATTATTTCAAATTCTACTAATAATTGTTACAATTAACAATAATTAATATGAGTTTATTACTGTAACTTAAAGTATTAATTTTAAGGTGGTGATCGCCCAAGACTACAAAAATCTTCAAAGTGTAAGTTCGATGAAAACTTTACATTATTGGAATCAGTTAACAGGAGTATCAAATAGGTATCAACGTTTCGCTGCTGGTACACTAAAACTAGATGAAATAAACGGCCATTATTTCGAAATGGATTTAACAGAAGTACTGAAGACGATGAATTCGATTCCTTCTGAAACTATTCAGTCTTAATTTTTATATTTCGACAAACAAATATTACACAATTTAATTAATAATAAATTTTTACATAAAAATTACGTAAAAAAATATTAATTAAATTAATATTTTTTATATAATTTTTACACAATATTTTTATTTTAAAAATTCTTTGAAAGACATACTCAATTTTAGAATAACAAAATATTTATATATAATTATATAATTATAAAAATCAAAATTACTAAAATTAATTTAACATTTTTTTAATAAAGCATGAAAACAAAGTACCTTATGCATTTAAAAACGGTTAAAAATATATAACAAACTTCCGCTATTTTGAAATGAAAGTATCAGAAATAAAAAAAAAGATGAATTAGCATTTGTACATCTTGATTTTGAATGTCTTCTGAATCTTCAAACGAAATGAATATCTTGCACTGAGAAAAAGTGCTCATATAAAAAGTTAAGAACTCTTACATAAACATAATTAAATCAAATCGTTAGTTAAGTATATAAGAAAGAGAAAGGAAATAAAACGAAGAAGAAATGGAGAGTAACTTGCATTTTTCTAATTCTTTGCGAAGGATTCATAAATTATCGCACTGATTAGAAAATATAATAAAAATTCCTTTGTATCAGCTTAGCAATAAAAGATTTGTATTATTCTAACACGACATCTTCGTCATCGATCCTTCCACAATCTAGTTTTGTACTATGTTTTTTCAGCCAAAAGAAGAAAAGTTCGATTTACGTTATATAGTGGCTACCTTATAGTCTCACAATCAGATATCTCTTTGTATCTATTCGATTCAATTCTTTCCAAATCTCTTCTTTTTTTCCATTATATACATTTATGATGACATATTCATATTTAAATTTGTGAAAAAAATTGAAACTTATTTTTTTAAAGAGACATCATTCTAAAAATTCAAAGATAAACTTTATTAGATTTGAGTGCATTTGATCCTGCTATATTTTCCTTATTGCAAATAAACTTTTGGGTATAGTGCTCGATTTTATAATAAATAGTAGTGTATACAAATATATATAAATCATAATAAATCATAAATAGTTTTAAAATAAACAAACATATTGGTCCATTTCCTAATACATAGTTTTTAACACAGTCAGTCTATATAGGGAAAATCATTATCTTAGCAAAATCTTCAAGTATAAATTAAAAATAAATATATATATAAAATTATATATAAATTATTTTAATGTTATCTGTATTTTTAATTTTATAATAATCAATTTTTTATTTTACAATTGTTATTAATATACCAGTATCAATATCTTTATGTAGAATCTGGTAAAAAATTTATTAATAATATTCCTTACAGGCAAGGCTCTTATATTGTAATAGTATTAAATTATTATATTGTCATTCGCTGCGTTATTATTTCGCAATTCTCATTTGTTATCTCTTATTGTTAATTATCTATGGATGATCGAGCAACAATGTTGCAAATTATTTCCTCCAGCTGGCCGATTGCTATTTTTTTCACTATGACTGGCATAAGTTGTATTTATATCTTTACATCCAGTATCTTTAGATACTGTAGTCAAAATGACCTTAATTTTGACAAAGCAATGTAATTTAACAAAGAAAAATACTTTGTTAATTTACTTATTTGTTATAAAAAGAGCTCGGATATCATAGTGGTCATATTTAGACTAATTTCCTTTTTTTGCAATAATACATATTTGTCCATGCAAATATTATATCAACTATATAAATATTAATCATATAAATAACTATATAAATATTATATTATATAATATTTGCATGGACATGTACATATACATTCCAGGCATTTATTTTGTTTTTTGTTTGTGTGATAATAATGATTGACATAGAAGTAAACAATAAAGTATTTTAGAAGAGTTGTGCAAATATAATATAATTTCGAACTAATATTATATATACTAAACATAATCTTACTAAAACAAATCAATGACTAGTATATACAATAGTATCTATAATTATAAAAGATGTCGCATGAATTTGATGTAAATGTGTATCTTTAAAAATAATGTCAAAACATTATATATTAATGACGATACATTATTTAATTAAAGCGTTAGATGTTCCAACAAAATTATTTTTAGACAAAATTATTTTTGTATTTAACTTATATAATAAATATTTCGGCAAAATGGTTCTTTTTGTATTTTCGATTCCTGATGACTTCAGTGATAAAATACGTACACATGTATGACCTGTACATGGTAATCATACATGCGTAATATGTGTTATGAGTCATTCATAAGTATTGTAATAACGTAACGTCAAAAGACTTTTAATGGCTGTAATTATGATTAGAAGTTGCATAACTAAGTGTTTTGAAAATATTTTCATTTTTATTTAATATTAATATTGTACATTTATATTGTATTGAGAAACCTTATTTATAATTGATTAAAACAAAATTATATTTAACCAGCTAAATCTCTTGCTTGAATATGGAACAAACAAATTCCTTGTTAAACATAACAAAACAAGTTAGTTGAAAAATTTGATAATATTATCATAAAGATTTGAAACTATATTCTTGATTGTTATTTTATTTAAATTTTGTTAACTAAATTAAACTTGTATGTTAATATCATAAAATTTCTTATTAATACGTTATAACGCTAGAGACGTTTACTGTAAAGATCTCCGAATTGAAATTATGATTGGAAATTATAATTTGTTCCAATAAACATTTGTTCCAATAAATCTATAAGATAGATGTTCTTTAATAGGTCTTTAAGATAGATGTGTAATCTATCTCAAGCAGATCTTGCAAAATATAACAAATCAAATCACAAATGTATAGTGTTCAATCTTTTATTCAGAAGATCTTCAAAGAGTACTTATCCATAATATATCCACGCATTTCGCTAGCAATGTTTCTTATATAACTTAATGCGCTTAAAAAAATGTAATTGTTTGTATGACAGTACGTTTGTTAGTGCTACTATAAAATTTTGTTAAACCAAATGAATTCATGCAAACAAAAAATTCGGTTATCGTGACATAGTAGATGCTTCTAATAATATAATTTTGTTAATACAAATTTCAAATTTAATTAACAAACCCCTTTCAACCAAAAAGTTGTTTGATTCAACTAATTAGATCGTTCAGAGTGTACACGTTCACATTCTATAAAACACCGAAATCAATCTTTCTTCAAGGAACAATCTTCCCCGCAAATAATCATCAATTCTTGCTGCAATTGCTATATGATATTTTACAATATTTTTATATTTATTTTTTAATCATTTTAGAACTTTATTATGCTGTTGTATCGGGAATGGAAAATATATAAGGTGAAAATAAATACGCTATCAGAATATACGAATAAAGAAGAAACTAATAAACAAATTAAACCCGTAGTTAAATCAAGTCAAATGGCGGAACTCACATCAGCTGGACATTCAATATTTTGTGGCAATTCTTATGAATTAGGTATTTTAGGAACAACAATTTCTGACTAATTTGATAAAAACACGATAAGATATCCAGACACAATTATTTCTTATATCTATATTGATAATAAATGATTTCAAATTTAATTAATGTTTGTTACATCTAATAGTTATTAATATGAGTTTATCGCTATAAAATAAAATATTAATTTTAAGATGGTAACTAGTGCAAGATGACAAAATCTTTTAAACAATATCTATGATAAAATCTTCAGATTATTAAAATCGAGTAACGAGCTATCAAATAAACTTCAAAGTATTGCTCAAAAGACATTCAGTCTAGATGAAATAAACTTCCGCTGTTACAAAATAAATTTAGCAGAAATGCAGAAGAAGATGTATTCAATTTCTTGAAACAATATATGTACTCTGAAACAATATATGTACTCTCTAAATCTGAATCAGTGGATAGTTACTAATTACACAGCGGCATATTTTGCACTGATAATCAGTGCAGTTCAACTTAAAAAGGAAGAATGTTTAAGCATTATATAACTAAAATACTGATATTTGCACGTTAATTTCAATTTTCTACAATAATATTCATTAAATTTAAGCACTAAAACAAAGTTAGATCACACAATAAAAATTAGCTAAGTTAGGGATCTCACATTTAATTCACTAATTACCAGTGGCATACTTGGCACTGATATCGATGATTATCTACTGATTCAGATTTAGAGAGTATACTAATATTTACATACAATTTATAAAATAATAAAATTCATTGTACATGAATATCATATTTTATTATGCATTCTTGATTACCCAGTATGATAATAAACACAAACGTGAGAATTGTCGTAGTGAAAGTTTACATCGAGATCCATTAAGTTGAGACATAGTTAAGAGTGCACGTGTATCTTCAAAATATTTAAAATCAAATTTCTTAAAGGCAAAATCTCATATAAATTTATTTTATGTTTCGGCTTATTTTTTTCTATATAATCATAGCTCTCGGTTGGCATTTCGCGTTGTACCTTACCTAAATGCGTGAACTGTAAGCAATATACAATAATTCTCTAAATTAATGCGAATAATTAATAAAGTATTGTTAAGCTTCGATATTTTGGTATTAGGATTTTTATCTCAAAATATTTTCAGGAATCTATTTTCAGGAGTTCTTTGATCTTTACCGGATATCCTGCATATTTATAGAAAATAATTTATAAAGATATTCTCAAGCACATATAAGTGAAAGACACCATGTTCATTCAAGGCTTATATATTTATATAATATTATGGTCAGATACCATCATCTTATAGCAGTGATTTGAATCGGCATTTTATTATTATTCTTTTACTTAATAACTTTTGTGTTATTTAATTATATGTGTTTTAAGTTTTAATTGCCAAATGAGTCTAAAATACATCAGGTTCCAATGCTCGTCTTGTTGACAGTGTATAGTATAAATATGTATATATTAAATATATCTAGTATATAGATAGTAAAAAAGTAAAATATGCCGAAAATGCTGCTTTTCACTTTCACATTTGATAGGGCACCAACCAAAAACTACTGCGTAGAATCAATCGAATTTTTTTCATAAGCAAGCCTTGTTATATCAGCTGTCAAAATATATAATGATTATGCGGCTTAAGTGTGAAGTTGGCTGTGAAAAAATACAATAAGTCCTCTGTTGGGAAAAAACAAAATTACTTTCCGAACAATTATATGATATTTAAATGATCGCATTTGACATCTGCGCAGAAACGTATAAAATTCTTCTCTAGAACGAACACGTCTAAATTTTTACCATGGCGATAATGCCAAAAACTAATAAAAAAACAAAAAAAAAAGTCAGAATAACTTGCAGTACTTATCAATATCATTTTCTTAAAATTACAATCTGATAATAAGTTGAATTTGTTAACAAACATTAAATTTATTAAAAGACAAATTTATTTTTCTTGTCTTTATCAAAAGATAAAATTATATTTCTTTCAACTTTGTTAAAAGAGTGTAAATAATGTGCTACGATTAAATTACGAAATCAAAATGAAACGCCAATTCTGTCAGCCAGAAAAATTGATCGGAATGAGTAACAAAAGAATAAATATTATTTTTTGTTCTTAATAGCTGTATTAATAATATATATGTATACTTATATATAGTAAGTATACAAACATGCATACTTATGTTAACATCTTAAATGTCATAAATTATCTATATGTATAGCCGTTATAATTACGTCTATTTAAAACATTTTAATACGTCTGCAATTATGATTGCGTAATGAGGTTTCTTCAAAATTTTTTATTGGTCAAAAAATGATATAAATAACAAGCAATAATCGTTCTACTCGTATTTGTGATATATCTGTCTACCGATATATTTCAAAAAGCATATTATTGCAATCCAAAGAGTCATCACAGACTTCATTATTAAAAGACGTAGGAATCTTCAAAAATTTGCTATTTAGCGCTACTCATTATATCTATTAAATACAAGTATAATTTGTAGCGAAAACTTTAACCAATCTATTTCTAATTATTGTTTGCAGGCTAAAAATGAGACATTCTATATTCATCTTAATAATTCTATCAACAGCGATTGTGAGTTTTGGAATAGAAGTGAATGTTGAATATAAATGGAAACATTGTGAGTATGAATGGGAAAATCAGCTGCAGCAGAAAAATGCTATAAATTCGGGCTCTTTTGATCCTTACTTATGCCCTTTCTTTGATGCGGCTAAAGCAGACGGTAAGTTGAGAATATTCTTCGATTTAAAAGATGATACGTTAGTTAAAACCATTTACATTCCACTTGATATGGCTACTGACAAAAAGGGTGATGGATTATTAGTAGCGCCTATCACATATATTCCCGGCGAATGCACACAATTTCTGGATAAAATGATCCTTTGTATATTCTCTCTTTTAATCACAGTAATATAATATATTCGTCTGTGCAAATATAATTTAGTATCACATTTAATCGTGTAGGTATATATATATATATATATATATATATATATCTTGTATTCTGTATATTTAAGTTACATATAAATATTTGCAGATACTTATGGCTGATTCGAGAGGTAACGGAGGAGGTTTAGTGATATATGACTCATCTACAAAACGTATGTGCAGAGTCGAATCTGATTATATGAAACCGATTCATATCAATTTCAATATAAATGGCAATAATTTTACTTTTATAAATGGTATCTTCGGTATGACAATCCTGCACGATGGCAAGTACTTAATTTAAAATATTATGTTTTATTTTTTAGTTGTATCCCTGCAAATAATTATCATCCCTAGCTGTAATTGCTATATAATATTTTGTTATATTTTCATATTTATTTATTTATTATAAACATTTCAGAACTTTATTATGCTGTTGTATCGGGAATGGAAATACATAAGATGAAAATAGATGCGCTACTAGAATGTCCTAATAAAGAAGAGGCTAATAAACTAACTAAATCCGTGGTTAAATTAACAAGCCAAACAGCGGATCTCGCAGCAGCCGGAAATTCAATATTTTATGGCGATTCTTATGGATTGGGTGTATTAGGAACAAAAGTTTCTGACGAATCTGATAAAAACACGGTAAGATATCTAGACGCAATTATTGCTTACGTGTCTATTAATAATAAATTATTTCAAATTCAATTAATATTTGTTACATTTAACAGTTTTTGATATGAGTTTATCGCTAAATAAAATATTAATTTTAAGGTGCTACTAGCGCAAGATAACGAAATCTTTCAAGCAATAACTTCGACAAAATCTTCATATTATTGGAATCAGCTAACGGGCCTATCAAATAAATTTCAACATATGGTTCAAAAGACTTTCAGTTTAGATGAAATAAACTTCCATTATTTTGAAATAGATTTAGCAGAAATGCAGAAGAAGATGGATTCGATTCCTTGAAACACTTATATAAATATTAGTATATATATAATATTTAATTCGATTATATAATAAAAAGATTTTGAGAATAAAAAAAAAAAATATATATATATAGACATACTATTATTTAATTCGGTTATGTAATAAAAGATTTTGAGAATAAAAATTCAAATCTATAACATAAGAACTAGAGAGAGTTACTTTGAAAAAACTTTAGTTTCCTATATTTTAACAAATATTTTTATATTAAATCTTTTTATAATAATTAAGTACACAAGATTCCGATTTATATATTATATGTACATTCATAAACTAACAATACAATTGAAATGGCATAATTTTGCATACAATATGGAGTCATAAAGACATGTATAGAATTACATTTTTTCATATAAGATTTTGTTTTCGAAAGAATCAATTTTCAATATTTGCTTGATAGTGATTTAATTTATAAACTAAAGTATCAGAAGAAGTTATGAAGCGTTCATATAAAACTACTTGAAAAAGCAGAATTATGTTTTCCACAGAATGGACAACAGTTTTATCAATTTATAAAATAATAATATTTATTGTAAATATCATATTTTATTATGTATTCCTGATATTATCCAGTGTGGTAATAAATATAAACGCAATAGTTTACAGCGAGATTTATTAAGTCGAGACATAGTTATGACTGTACATGTATCTCGTAAATATCTAAAATCAATTTTCTCAAAGACAAAAAATTATATAAGACAACATATAAGACAACGTTTTCGATATTTATTTTTTCATATAGAGTCCGTTCTTGTGCACTTCACTTGAACGCATGAATGTTAGGCGACATAATTCTTTAACTTCAGTTGTGTATAAAACATTGCAATTTCTGTTGTGTATTAAAACATTGTAATTTCGACATTTTATTAGGATTTTCATCTTAAAATAACCTCAGGAATCTATTCTTAGGAGTTACTCTTTACCGGGGGGAGAGGGGGGGCATTTTGTATATTTATTTATATGAAATATTATAAATAATTGAATTTAACCATAGTTTGCTTAACAAACTATTCAATGTTAAGCAGACTATATGATTAAATTTAATTAAATAAACTTTGTTAAATAAACTAAATCTGCAAACAATTATAATGTGTTAGTTTGTTGAACAAATTTTTTTTCTCAGAGTATTTATGATTACGACGTATTCAATTTGCGAGAAAACTCAAAACTTAATTTGTTTAAAGAAACTTTGTTTCAAAGATTCAGGGATTAACTTTGTTAGTATTAAGTATATTTACTGGCTCCTTTATTTCATTATGTTTGTCTTATTATTAATTTGTTTATGTAATACTTGTGTTCAAAACCCAAGATATTTTATACACATATAAATTTACAGAATAAACTGCAAATACTTTTAAAATAAACAAATTATTGTTATATTTCTTAAATTTATAGTTATCAAATCAATCGAGCAATATCAATAAATATTAACCAATAAATAAAAATTGTGCCAATTTAATAAAAATTTTCAAGCAAACTGTCTGTTCGCTAAAATGTCAAAATTCCTTGCAACATTGCACATTATGTATGAGATTGCTACGTAATTATTTAGATGTTCCAACAAAATTATTTTCCGACTTGTATTTAGCTAAATTTTTTAGATACTTCGATAAAATGGTTCCTTTTGTGTTTTCGATTTTAGTTGGCTTTAGTGATAAGATACGACCTGCACATGTAACCATACACACGTAATGTGTGTCATAAGTCATTTATAAATATTGTAACAACGTAACGCCAAGTCAAAACACTTTTAATGGCCGTAATTATGATTAGTGGTAGTTACATAACCAAGTGTTTTGAAAAAAATATTTTTATACATATTTGTCGAAAAAAATATAACTGACAGACAAGTTATTGCACTAGCATTTGCAACTTACGCGTCTACCGATATACAGGTTAGTTATTTTATTTTATGATTACAAATCCAAAAGTCAAACAAACTTAATTATTAAAAAAGACACTGAATAATATTTCTGAATGAAAATGGACGGATCTAAATTTCCTGGTTGAATTTATTAAATTCTAATTGAGAATTAAACAGATTAAACAGATGTCCAATTATAATGACCAAATTGTAATTAATATGATTATATGATTAATATAATTATATAGAATTTTATTAGTTTGTTCATTTTCAACCAAAAATTTCTCTCAGCACGCATGTTCACAAATTTTTTCACTTAGCGCAATTTATTACAATTTATTGCAAAACCAAATTACTTTCACGCAATTTATACATGTGCTTTAAAAAAAAAATTGTTGTCCAATATAACTCGTTATTACATTTCACAATGTAAATGGAATTCATTGTAAAAAACTAAGTGAGACATACGCACGCGCGTATGTCAACTTCGTAAACTCGTATCTTGGATAAAAAATCCCTTTTTGTCATGCTCTAAGTTACACAACATTATTACTTGCAAACTACCAGCTACTAAAAATGGGATTTACTTCATTTATTCTACTAATTCTGTCAATGGCGATTGTGAGCTTCGGAGTTGAAGTGAATGTCATACATGAATGGAAATACGCTGACTTTGAATGGCGAAGTCAAGAGCAGAAGAAAGAAGCATTAAGATCCGGCTCTTACAATCCACTGATGTGCTTATTCGAAGATACAAGTAAAGCAGATGGTAAGTTAATGGTAGATCATTTGAAAAAATTGTAATACTTACACGGAAACATTAATACTTCTCTTTTATCATGCAGTTTACAGTTATAGCATTTAACTGTAGTGTAATCATAAAAAATATAGCACTTAATTGTAATATAAGGATATTACATATTATGGATTAATATATTTCATACTTTGATATTGTCAACACAACGTACAGCATTACTACTGTCATGAAATTAAAAAAGTAAACATAATTTTTAGTATAAAACATAGGTTCCGTTTACAAACAAAATACTTACAGATGGTAGACTATTCGTTACTGTTACTAATATATATGGCGCTGGTTCACCTGCTACTTTGACGACAGTAACTAATAAAATAGGACCAGGAGGTCCAATTTTACGGCCATATCCAGATTGGAGTTGGTATAATAGCAATTGGTACAATAGCAAATGTATGTGTGATGGTATTGTAAATGTCTATCGAACAAATGTAAGTATTCGACATCTTTAATTCGTTCAAGTGATTCTTTAATTTATATTATATATGTATATATTAATTTATATATAGTATATATCACATATTTATATCTTATTTAAATATATCAATATCAAATAACTATCAGTTTATTTACAATATATATAGTAATATTTAAATAAACAACACTTTAGAGGAAAAGATGTTAATATAGATCACTGCTAATATGGGATCACTTTAAAAATTCTATTATTAATAATTAACATCTCTTGCGTATGTTTTCAATTTCCGGAATATGTACATTAGGAAAAAAATTTTTTATGAATGATTAGTGTTAACTAGGGTATGCTGCATACATATATACACAATAATCAGGTTAATAACAATATATGAAAAAGAATTTTTACTTTAATCCTAGATTCAATGCAATCACCTCATCGTTCTGGATAATGGCAAAATCGGGCAATTCGACCAAGTCTGTAATCCAAAACTGTTGATCTTTGATTTAAAAGATGATACACTTGTTAAAAGTATTTATCTTCCACTTGATTTTGCTACTAATCAAACAGGCTCTGGATTAATGATAACGCCTTTGGTTTATGCTCCCGGAGACTGCAAACAGTTTTTGAATAAAATGATTGTTAGTATACCTTCTTTTTTAATCACAGTAATAAATATTAGTCTGCGCAAGTATTATTTAATTACACATTTAATTACATATACACATATATATGTATATACTTAACCGTATATACCGAGTAATTAAATAACATTTGCATAAACAAATGTATATATATATATATTGTATCTTACTTGTTAAGTAATTCAATATACATGTAAATAAATACAGGTATTTATGACTGATACAGAAGGTTCAGGTTTAGTGGTGTATGAATCATCTACAAAGCGTATGTGCAGAGTCGAATCTGATTACATGAAACCGGTTAATACTTTTTTCTCTGTAGCAAAGCAAAATTTTACTCATGAAGGCGGAATTTTCAGTATAACAATCGTTAATGATGGCAAGTACATGCTTTTCATAAAATAAATGTTATTTTAATCGTAATGATTATATGAAAAAAGACATAAAAACTAAACCGGATATACATTTTAAAGCTAAACATTGAAATTTTCACATGATATACATTATATATATAATATGAATAATATTTAAAAAAAATTGACCATCAGTTCTACGACTTAAAAATTCTTAAAATCATCATTTTTGGTCTCTGACGTCATTTCCCTCAGAATTGTGACATGATATACAGCTTTGCATGAAAATCTGATTCATATTCAATATGTAAAAAAATTATGGTAATTACAATAGAAACAAATAAATAATGTATCAATGTAAAAAAATTATTAAGTGTTTGCTAGACGATTATTCAAAAGTGTAGATTCGCAAGCTAGTATAATCTGTAATGACATATTTCGCTGTAACATCTAAATAATCTTTTTTTTGTTTTTTTTGCTAAATATTTTAGAATTATATTATGTACCTATATCGGGAAAAGGAATATATAAGATAAAAATAGAGGCACTACTAAAATGTCCAAACAAGGAAGAGGCTAATAAACAAAGTAAACTAGTGACTAAATTATCAAGCCAAACAGCAGTTATTACATCAACGAAAAATTCAATATTTTATAGCAATTACAGGGAAATGTCTATTCTAGGCATGAACGTCTGCGCGAAATTTAATAAAATCGCGGTAAGATATTTAAATATTGTACAATTAGTCTTTACATACATATTGTTAAAATATTATTTCGGATTTTATTAAAACGATTGTTACATTTAATAATTATTAATATCTCTGTAAAATAAAATATTAATTTTCAGGTGGAAATAGCGCAAGACAACGAAAAATTTCAAGTTATAAGTTCGATGAAAGTTTCAAATTATTGGAATAGAATGATATGTATGTCAAATAGATATCAACATTTCGCTCTGCATACATTAAATTTAGGTGTTACAAACTTCCGTTATTTTGAAATAAAATTACCAGAAATAAAGAAAATTATAGATTAGCACTTCTACGTCTTGATTTCGAATGTCTTCTGAATTTTCAAATAAAATGAGTATCTTGCACTGAAAAAAGTGCTCATATAAAAAGTTAAGAACTCTTACATAAACATAAGTAAAGTTCAGTTGAGTATATAAGGCAGAAAACGGAAGGAAATAAAACGAACGGAAGAAAGAATGGAGAGCAGAACGCACTTTTCTAATCCTTTTGTAAAAGACTCATAAATTATGTCATCAATTAAGAAATAAAAATTCTTCATTGTATCAACTTAGCAATGAAAGATTTTTATTACTCTAATAAACACAACATCTTCGTCCATACAACGATTTCGATCCTTCAACAATCCAGTTTCATATGATGTTTTTCTCCGAAAGAAGTAAAGTTCACATTAAATAGTGGCAACTTTATAGTTTGAGATATCTTTTCATATCTATTCCATTGAGTTCTTTGGGAGTTTCTTTTTTTTACATTATGTATATTTAGTACGATGTATTCATACAAACCTTTCAAATAAATTAGAAGTAAATATATGAATAAAATTATATAAATATATCATTTTAATGTTATCTGTATTTTTAATTTTTAGAATGATTAATCTTTTGTTTTATAATTGTTATTAATATACTAATACCAATGTCTAAGTATACTGAGAAAAAATATCCTAAATTTTAATAAATGTTTATTAAACATAAAATATATTTATTTAGTACAAAAAACATTAATTTGATTTAACAATCACTTCTTTTTATTAAGTAAATATTTATTTATTGTAAGTAAATGTATTGTAAGTAATGTTTAGTTAACAGTATTCATATAAATATTTATTTAAATTTAGGCTATTTTTTTTCAGTGTAGAATCTGATAAAAAATTTTTTAATAATGTTCCTTATAAGCAATGATCTTGTAATAATATAAAATCATTATATTGTCATTTGCTGCGTTATAGTTTTGCTGTTCTCACTTTTGTTATCTCTCACTATTAATTATCTGTCGGATGATCGAGCAACAATGTTGCAACATTATCCCCTCCAGGTTGATGGCTATTTGTTTACTATGACTGGCATAAGTTGTATTTCTATCTTTACATCGGAGATAATAGATATACTGTAGTCTAAAATAATTTTAATATGTTTACAAAAGTATATAACAAACAAAAATTTTTTTGTCGATTTACTTATTCATTATGAAAAGGGTTTGGATATCATAGTGATCATGTTTAGACTAATAGTTAATTATAACTATAGATTAATTGCGATTTCTAGAGACCAATTATTAATTATATACAGCTTAATGATATATAATTATTAAATAATTAATTTTATTTATGGATTTTTTCTTTCCTATAATTATGTTTATTTTATTACATTATTAATGATCAATATTTTCCGATGACCTTAACTTACTATATGATATTATCGTACATACGAAAAAATGTTATAAGTCACTTATAATTGTTATAATAACATAACGCCAAGACTTTTAATGAAATTGTAATTATTATAATTATAGTTTATATAACCAGGTGTCCTAAAAACATTTTATATATATATTCGTTGAAAAAAAAATGACAAACAAATGTTATTGCACACGCATTTACGACCTACGCGTCTTTCGATATAGGTTAGTTATCTTATTTTATTTTATTATTACTGCGATTCAAAAAGATTCACAATTTTAAATTATCAAGAGACGCGTACTGAAAAAATTTCGGGTTAATAATGGAAACCTGAATTTTCTGGTTGAAATACATGTGCCTTTAAAAAATTGTTGTTAAATACAGCTCATTATTGCATTTCACGATCTAAGCGGAAAAAAAGTTTATTATTAAATATATTAATTAATAAAAATAAAGAAATCATACATATCGTCGTTTTTTTTCCAAAAACTTGTTAACAGTACATACGTATACTTGTGAAATTCTGACAGATATTCCGTTTTGGGAAAATTTTTGCTTTGACTACATCAAAAGACTGTACACTCATTAACTAAAAGACCGTAACACTTTTTTTCGATAAATTTCATGATACAAACTGCTCACCGAGCGATTCGTTCTTACTTATGAATTGAATGAGCCTAACAATTTATGTTCAACCACTCTGCAAGCAAGACTGAGTTCCGCAATTCATTGAAAAAAAAGTGTTCCAAACTTTTGCTATAAAGTTGTACATCAGTAGTACATCAAAGCAAGAACAAAACGACAATATTAGTAAAAATGTTAATAAAGATACTAATATATTAATAAAAACAGTAACTTATCAATCAATTTAATTAAAAAGACATTTGTGCAATATTTCTCTTGGAATTCGAAGTTTCGACATCTACGGACTCGTATCTTGGCAAATCCCTCTTTGTGCTCTGATCGACATAACATTTCTGTCTGTAAGCTGCGATAAAAATGGAATATTCTTTATTTACTCTGCTAATTTTGTCAATGGCGATTATAAACTTCGGACTCGAAGTGAATGTCGTACATGAATGGAAATATGTTGAGTTTGAATGGGAAAGTCAAGAGCAGAAGGAAACTGCGATAAATTCTGGCACTTACAATCCTAACACCAGCATATTGGTAGATGCAACTAAAGCAGACGGTAAATTAATGACAATATTAAAAAAAGTATATCAATTTTCTATAGAAATATATATACTTTTATTTCCATACAGCTTATAGTATTCACAATTATAATCATATCAATTATGTATAAATTTATTTTATTTTTTTAGGAATTTTAAGCACGAATTTATTTTATTGTGTATTTAGGTCATAATAACGTGCTTATAATGATCTACATTATACAATTATACAATAATTGCTCCTTAAAAGCACAAGCACAACCTTTAAATAATCATGTAATGTGTAGAAATCTAAAAAATATTATGAAATGGACGAAAAAGCCTCGCTCTATCCTATATCATTATTTTAATTATACTTACAATTTGAATGTATACACTTGTAACGCAGTGCTGTCAACTCCAATACATGGCACACTGACAAAGATAAATTAAAAATTTTGAATTATTATTGAATTTACATAAATTCCTCATATATTTTGAAAAATTTTTACTATATTTTAATAATTAAGAATTAAGTAGAATATTATCTTTGGTATTGTGTGTGTGTGTGTGTGTGTGTATGCGTGTGTGTGTGTGTATTAATTATTTATTTCAATAAAAAAACTGATTTTTCTTATGTATTTGTTTGTGTATGTGCTAGTTTTCTTTACGGTTTATTTAAATGCAAGGATACAATAATAGGGACAATTACTCTACATATATGCTTCGATTAATATTTCAAATAGCATTACAACTGTCATGAAATATATCTTATAATAATAAACATAAGTTTTTTTATCAAACAAAATTCTTTTAGATGGTAGATTATTCATTACTGTTACTAATGTATTAGGTGGATCCATATATTCGTTCGGTTTTTGTTAGTAGTGAAAATTTTTCCGAGTATCTCCGGTTCTGGTTGCCTTCAAAAATTTTACTTTCAAAAAAGTTTTAGCCTTCAACAACCGAACGAATATATGGATCCACCCAATATTTGGGCCTGGTTCACCTGCTACTTTGACGACAATAACTAATAAGACAGGACCAGGAGGTCTAATTTTACGGCCATATCCAGATTGGAGTTGGCATAATGGTAGTTGTATTTGTGATGGTATTGTAAATGTTTTCCGAATAGATGTAAGTGTACAATGCCTTTAATTTGTTCAGGAAACTTTTTATTTTATATATATATATATTATATTCATATTTTATATTTATATTGTAACAATATTAAAAAAAGCAATAATTTATTTATATACAAAATCTTTAAATAACTAACAGTTTATTAGAAGAAAAGATGTTAATATGAATCCTTACTGCTAATGTGTGAGACTCACTTATAAAAATTCTATTATAATTAACATCTCTTACAAAATATTTCTAATTTGTTGAATATAAGTATTGAAGTTTACAAAAAATTATCATGACTGATGTGACTATTTTTTAACAATTAATATCTATTACAAAGTACCTATATTACAGTTTTTTGTATTATTGGTATCTATTATAAAATGTCAAATCTTTTTCATATAATTTTCAATGTCAAGTGGATAACGTGGTTTCAAGTTTATAAGTAACGAGTTTATACTCAGAATTAATTTTTAAAGTGGTATTTTTCTATTTTGAGAAAATAAGTAAACTTGAATAATTGCTTATTTCTTTTGCTGTTCCGAAACGTTCAGTACATTAGGAATACAAATAGAATTTTTCGTGAATAATTTGCGTTAGCTGCATCTACATACGTATATATATAATAGCAAATTAATAACAACATAATCTGAAATAGAATTTTTACTTTCACCTCAGATTCAATGTAATCACATCATTGTTCTGGATTATGGCAAAATGGGGCTACGCCAAATCTGTAATCCAAAACTATTAATCTTTGATTTAAAAGATGATACGCGTTGGTTAAAACCATTCATCTCCCACTTGATTTCGCTACTAACCGAACAGGTTCTGGATTATTGATAACGCCTTTGGTTTATATTCCCAAAAAATGCACACAGTTTCTGAATAAAATGCTTGTTAGTATATCTTCTCTTTTAATCGTAGTAATACATATGTCTGTGCAAATATTATACCAGCTGCATGTTTTATTTCATATGTACGGGGTGTCCGGTAAGTTTTAACAAAGCGCTCGTGTGTAGATACAATGAACTAAACTAAGTCGAAAAGTCTTCTACCATTTTGCAATTTTCGCAATAGTTAATAAGATATTTATAATTACTAAAAATCACTGAATATTGGTTTTCAATCATTTTTTACTCAAATATTATCAATTTTACAGAAAAACAGCAAGAGACAAAAATTGTTTTTTTTTTTTCATAAAGTTCTGAGAATTTTTTCAGAATTAAGTATTTTCATAGCATTTATTATAATATATGTATTATAAATATTTCATAATAATTATAATAAACACAGTTTTTCATTAATAATCACAAATACTGTGCAC